CTGTACTTTGTTATCCCTGTATCATCTGTATACTGACCTGTGTTTATTTACATGCCTATTCATTTGATTGTACACTGTATCTGCCACCTCCACCGACCGTTTTATGTACGTGTAATGTTCGTTATATTTGAGAACTTTAGGGCTGCCCTCGACTAAAGATTTTAGACTAATCGTCACACGTTTATGATACATTATGATTATTAAAAAACATATTTTAAAAAAGATGTTACTCCCAAAAATGGTTTCAGTTTCAAAGGCTGATAAAGAGTGTTAATATAACAGCATGGTACGTTGTGCTTCACATAAATTATAAAATAAAACTGTAATAATGAACCTTTGAAATATAAATTGTAGGATTTGGAATAATCTGCTTCTTTCCTTTGCCGTATAATATTATACTACTCTAGCTTTCAGACTCTGATCAACAACCCCCCCCCTCCACTTTACTCGCACTTGGATTAGGACTACTGTGTATGCTTGTTGTTTTCTTTGTACTGTTTCTGATTTTCTGTAAAGCGTCTTTGAGCATTAGGAAAAGCGCTATATAAATCCAATGTATTATTATTTGAATCTTTTATGCACCATATTAACCATGTCCGTGTCCTCCAGGCGGCTCTGATGGCTCGCGCCTCTACGACGGCGTGTGGCGCTACAAGTCGAGCGTGAACGAGTGGACGGAGGCGGCGCCCATGCTGAAGCCGAGGGAGTACCACAGCTCGGTGGTGGTGAAGGGCCAGCTGTACGTGGTGGCGTCCGACAGCACGGAGCGCTACGACCACGCTCTGGACTGCTGGGAGGCCCTGCCCCCCATGCTGCACCCCATGGACAACTGCTCCACCACCACCTGCAGCGGGCGGCTGTACGCCATCGGCTCGCTCACCGGGGACGAGACCATGGCCATCCAGAGCTACGACGCTGAGTCCAACCGCTGGACTCTGGTCAGCTGCGGACAGATGCCCCCCTGGTCCTTCACTCCCAAAACTGTGACGCTCAAAAGCCTCATCTACTTCATCAGGTGAGGAGGGAAGTGTTCAGTTACACGTCTCAACTTAGCAGACCAGATATTGATAATCACGAATGATCGAAGTTTATTTATTCCAGGACAGATCTAAATACATTTCAGGTAGTTGTACTCGTGTGCATGTTTTCCACTTTTTGCTTCACCAATCAATTTGATTACTTTTGTTACCAGTCACTTTGTTACCAAGAAGATAAAACAAAAACAACATCCATAAACTAATAAATCAGCTAAGTGTGAAACTGCTAAAGATGAAAATAGTTGTTTTGACATTTCCCCTCTTAATCTCAAACATTTATTTATTCAAATGTCTTTGGTAGAAAGAAAGGGGACATGAAAAAAATCCAACTGTATCTTTCCTTCTTTCTCCTTCCATTAGTGGAGGGGGCCAACCCCTATGTTGGGAATTAACCACCTAAAAATAGTTTTATAAAGTATTTCTATCACTTGTATTACTTACTGTGCAATGCAGCATTCAGTATAAGATATTAAACTGCAATACATCAGTCACAGGGGTTTATTTTCTGCATGTTCTACTTTGAACTTATAATACCTTCAATTTAAATTGTTTCCTTTTAACATTGTTATAGTTTCGTTAAGGCTCTGAGTACTTTCACTTCTCGTAAATGCTTCATAACAAAGGCATGTGGACTATATGAACTATTAAACAGTCATTCTGGTGTTCTACCACATGGGTGCGCTAACTGCCCAGTTTCCCGCTGTGAGAAAGCTTGTTAAAATAGAAGATGTGGTGATTTGTTAAATACAAAATGACCGTACAAAATATCCTACTCATGTTATAGAAGTGACAATTCAAAGGCTCTGAGTAAAAAACAGTTCAATTATTACTCCATCTCACTAACATGAAGTGAACTATTTTGGGGTAATAATAAGTCCAGAAAGAAACATTGGCTCATACTAAATAGTTGTTGCGACCCTCAGTGAAGTTAGCGTGTCTACATCTGAGTAATGACTGCTCTGACCATGGTGTGTTTCTATTTGCAGGGATGACTCGGCCGAGGTGGATGTTTATAATCCTCAAAAGAACGAGTGGGACAAAATTAGTCCGATGACCCAGGTTTGTATTTCACATTCGACCCTAGCATGCTTTAAAACTAACCAGTTAGCTCTCTAATAGCTCTGACCCATAATCAGGGGTCAACGACACTGCAGTCAATTCAAATATGATCATCATAAATACATGAACGACTGCCGCTTGTCACGGTTTTTAATGTAAAATATGACTTATGACTGAATATGCTCAATAAATAGACAAATAATACTTGTAGTTGAATTATTAAAATGGAGAAAATAATAATGTATTTTTAAAAAAAGAAATATTTTCCTACCACAAATCATTTGTTAAAATCTTAATTTAGACTTTTTTTTTTTTTACATTTCAACTTTTTAGATTGTATTTAATTATACATTTATTATATCATTTCCATATGATAATGAGATGTGTCTATTCATGTCAGTGATTATTAGACAGCTCCATATATAGAGAACTACATGTATTATATATTTATGAATTAAATGACTAAATCTAGCATATTTGTTGGGGCTCCATTTTCTTTTTCTCAATCTTGTGTCTTTCATCCAGGTCCATGTAGGAGGCAGTGTGTCGGCGCTGGGCGGTAAACTGTACGTCTCCGGGGGTTACGACAACACGTTCGAGCTGTCGGACGTGGTGGAGACGTTCGACCCGACGACGCGCTGCTGGACCCCGGCCGGGCGCCTGCCGCAGCCCACCTTCTGGCACGGCAGCGTCAGCATCTTCCGACAGTTCATGCCGCAGGTCAGCAGCGCGTTCGCACCCGCCGAAATCCCCGAGTCGAACGCCATCCACCTGCACCGGCACCACCGGCACCTAGCGCTCCAAAACCTCAACAACAATCTCAACCAGAACCAGAACCAGGACGTGAACCCAGCGCACTGATCGGACCCAGACCCCTGTTACATTTAAAGACTTATCCCCCTCATGTAGCAACGCTGTGGGGTTTCTCGGACTTGTTTTGTCTAACTACGTTGATACAAAAGTACTGTTGGCAGTTGCATTGTGGGAAATGTAGGCAACAAAGAAGGAAATTGCCATGGCTCTTTCTTTAAGTTAAAAAAAGAATGTGTGTATCCGCTGACTGAGTGATTTCCAAAATGTTATATTTTCTTCCATGGCCCCCTTCCCACTTCCAAAGTTTCCCTAAAACCAGGGCCTGTAGTCTTTGCCTTATCCTGCTTCCAAGCAGACAAGCAAACCAAAAACGCATCTAAGTATATATAGTTATTATTAACTATATCTCTAGCTAAAAATATCTCTTGTTCCTTTTTCTAACAAGAGTCTGTCAGTTTACAGGGCTACAATGCTAAACCAATGTTCTCCTTTTATAATTGGCCCGGAGCATGAGCCAAATATTTGTTCAGAAACAGCAACGATCAGTTTACATTCCAAAAACGACAATCGCAATTGATACGTATTACTAAACAGCCTTATGGCTTCACATGAAGGGTTGAGATATATTGTACTCAGAGTTGAGTAATCTTTTGTCACTATTGTAGGATTTCAGGACGGCTGCATTGTTTGAATGACTTGTATCGGGTTGATATACCATTGAGTGATATTTAGACATTTCCTCCTGACCCTTGGACTAAGCTTTATAACCAGAAGTAGAATGTGCATGAAGAATTTTATTTAAGATTTGTATTTTTTTGTGGTTTTGTATTTTTATTCATGGATATATTTGTGCTGTGGTTGCTTAGATGTCCCCGCCTATCAGTTGCAACAAGAAAAGTAACGCGTTAGTGATGGGTGGGCGGTCGGTAACTGGAAGTGCAAAAGAATCTCAATTTGTATGTAGTTTAGTTTCATGTTTTTATGATATTGTTTTCTTAGTTTTCACACAAGTTTGTGAATCACTTTTGTAAATACAGTATATTCCTAACCTAGCGTACTGTGTTTGTAAAATGTTTACAATGTGGTTAGCATAAATTGAACTGCAGACAGGAGAGTTCATTAGCCCAGTCACATTTGATTAGCTGTTAGCATGTTGCTAATATATTTCTTATAAACAGTGGATAGTAGTTGCAGCTGAGTGGGACAATATTTTTATAAATAGGAGTATGCTAAAGCATTCACTTATAAAGCTGTGTATTTTAACATAAAACAATAACCTGTGTAGTGTCTTAATTCCAAATAATGTTGATATCGAAACAGAGCGCCACTGAAGAGCATTTATTACTGACCTTAGCTGCAGTATAGGCACATAGATGGAAGGAAGCAATACAAAAACAATATCATTTCACATTCAAGCAGCCTTCACAAGCATGCAGTTCATTTACCAAAAAGAAAAGCCTGATAATTAGTAATGCTCTTCTCTAGAAACTCAGAAGTAGCTGGCCATGTTCCAGTTCCATCTTTGGATCGGTAAATGTCCTTAAATCACATCTAATGTACAGTAAGTGCTTCTCATTAGCAAATGGTCTTCACAGTGACTTCAACTCTGAGGGGTATGTTCTCAAACGTTCTCTGCATTTATCGTGGACTCGAACGCCTCGGTGTCCAGCTGTGTTTGCTGCAACACTTCTGGCACAGAGAAGCTCTCCGCCGCCCCGACGTGTCCCAGGTTCTGATTGGACGCCTCCTCCATCACAGGGACGCTCGACTCCATCACCACCCCCACTACGAGAGCTCCTGGCTCTGGGTTTGTGGGTTCCTGGACGTCAGCGGTTGCCTCTTGGATGTAATTGGTCTTCCCGGCCATCAGAGAGTCTTCCTTGTCTTTCGTAGCTTCGCTCTCATCAGGACTTCCCTCCACTTCCTGCACCACCAGGTTCCTCAGCTTCCTCTGCCGGGGGTTGTAGTTCTCCGTGCGTTTGTGGATTTGAGTGTGCCGTCGCAAGTGTGCCTGGAAGGGCAAACGTGTAACGGTGAAAATGTGTCAACAATTCAATAAGATCACCAAAGACCCCCGATTTTTTTATTTTTTTTTAATAGTTTATTTAGAATTTTTCTTTTGGCTTATTTTTTATTAAACAATTTGCTACTTCTCTGTCCTTTGTAAACAGAGCATTTTATAAACAGGGGGTATTAGACTGTTAGATGTACAAAACAAGCCATTTAAACATTATTTTTGTTAAAGTTTTAGTTTTTCTTAGAAAGTAAACTAACTAACATTTTCACTTTATTAATTAATAAATACGTATATCAAATTATAATAGCATTTTACATTGTAAAAGTTTGAAACAGCTTTTACCAGACACCCAGATAGCATGTTTTTGTTAGAAAAATGTCTGAATTAATTAATCAAAATTGCGAAAATGAAAAGATATGACATAAAACTAAGTTGAATGGATAGATTTGAGTTCATTAGAAATTGTCGTAAGGTCGTCTGTTCTAAAATAATATTTAATTTCTCTCCACGGCAGATACGCTATCTGTTCAATATTTTATATTTTATATTCCATACGTCATATATTTATATATATTGTATATATATATTGTATATATAATATCTACATGTATATTTTCTTTTTTCTTTTCATTTCTATTCTTGTTTATTTCTATTCTTGTTTTATAGTAAAATGCCTTGTCTTTTATGCTGCTGCAACAAAAACAATTTCCCAAATTGGGATCAATAAAGTACCATCTTATCTTATCTATAGAAATGTATTTGTTTACCTTTTTTCTTAATAAATCAGGGGATTTTCTTTAATTCAGACAAACATCATACTTTTTTCATAACTGTCATTCCAT